TCTGGATGTATAGTTATGAAGTTATGGATGTGTAGTTATGCAATTCTGGATGTATAGTTATGAAGTTATAGATGTGTAGTTATGCATGCAATTCTGGATTTATAGTTATGAAGTTATGGATGTATAATTATGCAATTCTGAATGTATAGTTATGAAGTTATGGATGTGTAATTATGCAATTCTGGATATATAGTTATGAAGTTATGATTTTTTTTTTTTAAGTTGACGTCAAAACGACGTCGTTTTTACATCTGTGTGCACCATACATGGTGCACGGCCTAACGCTACATATAATTTGCCGAGAATTTTGTGGGTTGTCAAGGTGAATCTAAACGGGCCACTCATTCATGGTTCTGGTATTAGGTATACAAGTGGGTCGAGTTATGGGTTATTTCGCCATATTTAAATTTTAAAAAGTCCAATAAAATTTGTATTAACAAGTCAATCATTATTGTATGCATCATCGACCATAGAAATTGTGTGGACCATATTTTATCTACTGTAAAATAATGTACATTATATTCAAGAAATGTATACTATTTTTATTCTGAGTGTACATTATATTATATAATGTACATTCAGTACAAAAATAATGTACATTTTTTTTTGAGAAAAAAATAATATACATTTAGTATATTAAAAATGTATTTTTTGTTATGCTCCACATAACATTGTGTGGACCATGATCCACACAATAATTTGCCTATTTCGTATTTTAATTTTTAGAGTTGATTGAACTCGTAGACTTATAATGCTATTTTTAACTAAATGAAATTATGAGTTACTTAGGCAAAATTTTAATTATATTTATAGTTGTCAAAACGGGCTCAACCTGTCAGGTTGGGCCCATTTAATCCCTTTTTAGGCTAGTTGGGTTGGAGGTTTCTCTAACCCGGCTCAACTAATTCGTGGCGGGTGGTGAGTTATATGGGTTGGCCTGTGGGTTACAATGCTCTGTCGGGCTGGGGTGTGGGGGGCCCTTAGGGTTGAGATTCAATTTTTTGGAATAATTCTAATAAAAGTTAATAATGTTAGATCCTTAACTGAAATACAAAAATGTCGGTCCTATTATTTCTTAAAATGAATGGTTCATATTATTTTGATTTTAATATTTTTTAATGATTTTTCTTATTTTACCCTCTATTATATTATTTTTTTCCCTTAAATAACCTAAATTCCGTTAGTATAAACTTTAGTAAGGGAATATTCCGTTGACAATTTATTATTTTTAACTTACTCATTATTAATTTATATAAGAAAGGTTTTAGGTTCAAACCTCATCCAATTAGAGTTGACATAATTATTAAACATATACTATGAATATTTTAAAATGTATTAAAATATATATATATATATATATATATATATATATATATATATATATATAATATAAAATTTAACATAAACTTTGGTCAAATAATTAGTCCGACTAAATGCATAACATTCAAAGTTAAGCATCAAAGATTATAAATCAAGAACTTTAAAAATCATTTGATTTTTATGCATTAAAAAAATTAGATTAAGTTTTATTTTTTTTCATTTAATTAATCTTCTTTTGATTATTTAGATCAGAACAAAACTTAATATTTCAATTATACTTTTGCATTATTGGTATGATTTAGGTCGTTATGGTATTAATGTTTTTGTATGTATTTTTATAATAGTACAATTGTACATTACTTTACAAATATTATACTATTTTTTTATCGAACAAAATTGTTCTTACATCATTGGTAGACCTGCTCGATCTAAGAGCAACCACACCAATGCATAGTATGGGGAGATTTCAGCATTAATTCTTCTCAATGGGGATAATAACTAATGTGGAGTGGGGATATTGTGGAAATAATCTTCCTGCAAAATTGGGGAGAATGGCAGAAAAGGAAGAAAGAGAAAGAAAAGGAAAGAGTGGCTGCTGTGCGCGTTTCGCGCACAGCAGCCCGCCCACACGGGCGCGTTAGGCGCGCCGTTCGGCGCGCCTGACAGGTTCTATTATTTATTTTTTTTCTTTTGTTTTTTAATTTTGATTTTTTTTTTCTCTTCCCCACATTCTCTCTCCTAATCACTCTTACATTATCCCCATATTCTTCCCAACTAATATGGATGCTCTAACTACAAAGTTGTTGATCATAAATACAATTATACCTGGAATCTAAAACGGTAAGACCATTTCCCAAAGAATTGACAATGTTACATCCCATTGGCTCTAATTGAACAAGTTTACACATCAGAATATATCAATGCATGAAACCTTCTAAGGAAATTTGTAAATTATTTTTTACTATATCATTATAACAATATTTATTGTAACTATAATATGCCATTAAACATTATATAGTTACAATATTTATTGTAACTATATATTTTGAATTATTTATTATCATCCTCTATTTACACGAATTGTAACAACTGTCATTGATAAACTCTTAAAACAATTTGTCCCAACAACGAATGTAAATTAAAAACAAAATTCATTGATTTCATTATTGTTGATGAAAAGTATGTACGCCACTTTATTACTCTTATTAAATTAAATAAATTAGTAGCTACAACAAAAAATAATACATATGCATTTAATTAATTTAGAATTAGATGTCTATAATGCATTTATTTTAAAAAAGGGAAAATTGTAATTTATGTCCCTCCATAATATGCCAATTATCAATGTCACCTCTGAATTATTAATAGTGTAAATGTTGTCCATCAATTTTTAAAACGGTACATATATTGCCCCTCTCGTACCATACGGTAGGGGCAATATATGTACCGTTTTGAAAAATGAGGTGCAACATTTACACTATGGGAGGGCATTATATGTACCATTTGGAAAATTGAGGGCAACATTTACATCACTAATAATTCAAGGGTGATATTTATAATTGACATATTATGGAGGGGCATAAATTAAAATTTTCCCTTTTAAAAAATTATTCATTATAAAAAAAAAGAGTTAATTACCAAAATGGTCCCTTGACTATAGTGAAATTACCAATTTGGTCATTGACTATTTTTTTAACCAATTAAGTCCTTCAACTTTAAAAATTTTAACCAATTTGGTCATCCGTTAGTTTGACCGTTAGTCAACGGTTAACTTGGGACCAAATTGGTAATTTCTCTATAGTCAAGGGACTATTTTGGTAATTAACTTTAGGGGTGGGCAATTCGGTTTAGTTTTCTCGAATCGAACCGTACCGAACCGAACCGAAGTAATATACCGAACAACCGAACGATATTGAATTCTTGTATACCGAACGATTCGATAAAAAATCCGATCCAATCTGAATTGTTCGGTAAAAAATTGAACTGAACCGAATACAGTTTGATTTTTTTAAAAATATAATATAATAATAATAATAAATAAATAAATAAATAAATAAATAAAAATAAATAAAAAGTAAATCCAAGTCCCTTACTGCTTGCTCTGTCGTTTAGCTCATATTTTCACGAGTATCTCTCGTAAATGTTTTATTTGATTTCTTTATGGTTTGTTATCAAAAGTTCTATATTATGTGTTATGATGTTTACATAGTCCATATCCAAAGTCTAATATAAGAATTCAATATCGTTCGGTTGTTTGGTATATTACTTCGGTTCGGTTCGGTACGGTTCAATTCGAGAAAACTAAACCGAATTGTCCACCCCTAAAGTTAATTACCAAAATGGTCCCTTGACTATAGCAAAATTACCAATTTGGTCCCAAGTTAACCGTTGACTAACGGTCAAACTAACGGAGGACCAAATTGGTTAAATTTTTTAAAGTTGAGGGACTTAATTGGTTAAAAAATAGTCAAAGACCAAATTGGTAATTTCACTATAGTCAAGGGACCATTTTGGTAATTAACTCTAAAAAAATTAAAAACAGATCTAATTTCATTAGTTATATTATCTTTATTTTCTACAATTCAAAGATTCATTACCTTCAAATTTATTAATTAATTTATTATATTCCATAAACATTTGGCAATCCAGTCAGCAAAAACTTGGAGTTAACCTGTTAAAAATGTTAATTGCTTTTTTTTTTCTTCGAGTTCAATGGCTTATTTGGGGGTTATTTGAGTTCGATAACTTAATTGATGTTTCTCAAATAATTTAGTAGCTTATTTGTACTTTATCCCAAATATATAAAACTAATAAATAATGTTAAAGGGATATATTAATATGTGGCATCCTTCTTTGGATACTATGGATCTAGCTTTATCAATTCTCTTATAAAATATAAAATAATAAATATGTGATGTCATTAAAAACATTTATTTTAAAATATCAAAAATTTTAGTTGAGCACGGCAAATAATTCAAGTTTTTAATTAGAGTTAGGCTAAAAACTTTTAAATCAAATAACAAAAAAGACCTTATAACTTATAAGTCCAAACTGATAAACTCGATGGCGTGACAGGGTAGCTTTAAAGTAACATCCCTATATATGCTCACTCTTTTTGGGTTGGTACAAGCTTTGTAGTACTTTATCATATTTTTGAGAGGAAATGTTGCAAAGACAACAACCTCTCTGTAATATATCCTTTCCACCTCAACGTAGAGAACTCATCAATCAAAAGAAGAAAATTTAAGTGTCATTTAGAAGAATGTCAATTTGTGCGGATGAACCAAACACCCCTAGCTTTATAGCCTACGTATACATTTTAGTTACTCATTAAACAAACATGACTAATTACTCACACGCCAAGTTTAATAAAAGTTAAACACTATTTAAAATTATAGCCTTATTTCTCGATGTTAAGTTATTTACGTATCTAAACAAAACACTTTAATTTACAGAAAAGTCACAAAGGTGAGCTCCATCACTTCGAGGGATTATTTCACACTATAGCGGTGAGATTCGATCTCATATTATTGTTTTCAAACTTCATTCATGTGACCAACTGAGCTGCTCATACAGATTTGTTATTTGAATGTGTGTTCCAAGTAAAATTAACCTTGTGGTCATAACCGATAAAGGAGTAAAATGAGGTAATCCAATCTAAGTTGTACATAAATAACCAGTTCAAATTAAAAAGATCAATAAACAGGTTAATGGGCAGTTGGTACCGTAAAGTTACAAATTATAATTACGTGACTATACTAAGCAATGGAAAATATAAGTAGCTAAAAGAAAACAAAACTTGAGTTATTTCTCTTTATTTAAAAAAAAAAAAAAACATTACAAAAGTTGATTTGCTATTTCCAGTAAAATCTGTTTAAATTTCACACTTAAAACTTAAAAGACTCTTTGACGTTGGACGCAAGACAGGGTGACCCTTTTTCTTTATCTTTTATTCTTTTTTATTATTTAATAAAGATAAAGACAAACTTAGCACTGAAGATTACTCAGAAATATTTGGAATTTCTGATTTTTAATTACCGCAAACTATATATTGTCTTGTTTCGTCGATACCGCCGACAAAGATTGCCCAATGCCCTTTGCATTTTGTTCCATACCCTACATATTTCATTATTTAAAAAAGCAATTAATTATAAGATATATTTCTTTTCTTGTTATAATGTTAATATAAGTAGCCAATTTTCCCTTTTTGCCGGAGATTAGTCCTCACTTTTATATTAGGCCTTACCAAGTAATAAAATTTAAATTTTTACTTTAATTTTACATTTTTTTTTTTACTACCGAATAACAATTCCTTTAGTTCCTAATTTTTTCCTTGCAACCAAACGGTTTGTTAGAGTTTAATAGTTATAATTTGCTTTTAGAGTACACTTAGGCTCTGTTTGGCAAACCTAGCTGAAAAGCTATAAGCTGGCAATTTATATCCTACACCACGGCGTACATTGCACTATGCGCCCAGATGCAAAACGACGTCGTTTTAATTATTTTTTTTTTTTGAAATTTCCCGCCCCAGTGAATGGCAGTAGGCTTTTCTTTAAAAAAAAACCCGCTGTTCAAGAATGTACATAATGTTATACTTGAATACACATAATGTTATACATGAATACACATAATGTTATAACAAAATATACATACTCTTTTTAAAAGATAATACACATAATCTAACATAATACATAATAAACATAAACTTTTAACATAATACACATCAACTCTTAACATAATACACACAAATTTTCTGATTCGGATGTACATAATTGTATAAAAATAATGTACATAATTGTATAAAAAATACACATAACTGTATGAACCAATACACATAACGTTGTGAACGAATACACATAACGTTGTGAACGAATACACATAATCTCAGCAACTTCCTACCGCGCCTCCCAACACGACTCCAAAACGACGTCGTTTTGGGAGGCGCGCGGCGCACAGTGCTATGTGCGCCGTGGTGTAGGATATAACGATTGCTATAAGCTAGGAGCTGATAGCTGAAAATGAGCTGAAAGCTGAAAAGCTATAAGCTCGGAGCTGAAAATTGAAGAGCTGTTAAGCTAGCTGTTATGATTGAAAGTGTTTGGTAAAATTAGCTTTTTGGTAAACTGATAAATGTAAAAAGACTAAAAAGGACATCTTCATAAAATTTAAATTAATTTGTTTACATATTAAAATTTAACAGTTTGTCTTCCAAAAAAAAAGTAAACATTTTTTAAAATAAAACTATTAGCATGATCATGATCTAGCATCCCATAATGAAGTAGAAATATTGTCATTGGTTGAAACCATATTGCTAATTTAAAAATAATAATAATAATAATAATAATAATAATAATAATAATAATAATAATAAGCTAAAGATGAAGGGATTGACGTGAAAGTTGGGATAGGGGAAGAGAAAGGGTTTTAATTCATAAGGTTAAAATATGTCATTACTTTAAAATAATAAGGGTAAAGATGAAAAAAAAGTTAGGAAGCTAGTAGCTTATTTTCAAAAGCTACCTAAAGTAGCGTTCCAAAATAAGCTTTTATTTTAAGCTAGGAGCTTATTTTGGGAACATTACCAAACAGAGCTTATAGCTTATTAGTAGCTTAAAATAAGCTATAAGCTCCTAGCTTAGCGTTGCCAAACAGAGCCTTAGTAACAATATAAATGCTATGTTTGGCAAATTTAGCTGGAGAGGTAGCTGAAAGCTAAAAAGGAGCAGAAAGTTGAAAAACTATAAGTTAGGAGCTAAAAACTGAAAAGCGATTAAGCTAGCTGTTGTGCTTGGAAGTGTTTGGTAAAATTAGCTTTTTGATAAGCTGATAAATGTAAAAAGACAAAAAAAGATATCTTCATAAAATTTAAACATATTAAAATTTAACATTTCGTCTTCAAAAAAAAAATAACATTTTGAAATAAAACTATTAGCATAATCATGACCTAACATCCTATAATGAAGTAGTAATATTATTGCGAATCTCCTTCATCTAATAATAATAATAATAATAATAATAATAATAATAATAATAATAATAATAATAATAATAATAATAATAATAATAATAATATTTGTGGTGAAACTTGCGGATAAAGGAGAAGAGAAAATGGTTTTAATTGAGAGGTAAATGATGTCATTTCTTTAAAATAATAAGGACAAAATTGAAAAAAAAAAAAGAAGAAGAAGTTAAGAAGCTAGTAGCTTATTTTGAAACGCTATCTAAAGTAATGTTCCAAAATAAGCTCTTATTTTAAGCTACGAGTTTATTTTGATTAACATTACCAAACATAGCTTATAGCTTATTAGTAGTTTAAAATAAGCTATAAGCTCCTAAATAAGCTCTGCCAAACAGACTCAAAATACACAAAATACACCCAACAATAATATAAAATGCACCTAACGATATCATTAGTTGCATGCACTGAGTATGAAAATTATTCAACTCAAAGTTCACCTTTTAAAATTTATGATATTTTTTTAAAAAATTTGGTTTAGGGGTTCGCTTTTATGTATTTAAGAGTTTAGTTTTAGATTTAGTTTTCTAGATTTATCAATAGATATACTATGTAGTTTAATGGAGTTTGGGTGACGAGGGAAACCTACGAGGGTGTGTATTGATGAGTAAACTCCGCGTTATGATCTTAGTTGACAAATGACCACATAGAGGTAAATTACAATTGGTTGCTCAATATTGATCGGCTCAAACCAAGAAGGCCAATTAGATCATTCTCGTTGAGAGTTAAACTTATAATTAATCTAGTTAACAAATTGACCAACTTAGATGGATTTACCCTATACTATACATGTAAAGAGTTTAAATTAAGAATTTAAGAGAGCGTTTAAATTATTAGGAAAATTTTATGAATTTTATTAAAGTCTATGAAAATCTATATGTCAAACATACTTTTATTGACTTTTGAATACTTTTTCGTTTAGTTTCTACAATATTCTTACCCCAAAGACTGAATCCCCAGCCCTAAGGGCCCCCCACCTCCGACCCGACAGAGCTTGTGGGAGGATGTAAATTGTTGGTTTTTGGGTTTTCGGGCCCAAGGAGGTCCAACACAACCTTGGTCGGTGGATTCACCTTTCACATGATGTTTATAGAAAAATAAGTAGAAAAATATAACTCAATGCTTTTGTACGTGGAAACCGAAAGGTGAAAACCACGGGCCTTTTTGGGCGGTGACAAGCCTAATTCCACTATGTATTTTGTAGGTGTCTTTGTACATACTTGTAGGGCTATTCTCTACACAAAGTGTTGTGTTTCTAATAATATAGCAATAATAATATAAGAAGAGTGATGGAATGGTGTGGAAGAGTCCTTCCATTTGTATGGATGAGTGGTGGAGCCTTCTTGGTATGTTGTGGAATGAGGCCTTCTTGGGAGAGTAGTTGTGGGAGAGTGATAGTAGTCTTCAAGTGTGTAGGAAGAGTGCTTGGGAGAGTCCTCCTATGTGTGTATGAGTGAGTGGATCCCCCCCCCCCCCTTTCTTCTTGTCTTCTCCTCCTTTTATAGCTAGCCCATCCCCAAAAGTGTCCGTTGGACCATTTAGTAGGGTAGTTAATAGGTATTAACTTGGTTATTAGTGGGGTAATAAGTGGGAGACTTAATAGGTAGCCTTTATTTGGGGGTTATGGATGAGGTAGATAAATAGGACTTTTAAGGGTAGATAATTAGGAATAACGGCTAGTTAGTCCAACCCTCTACCCGTGCCGACCTCCGGGTCGAGCCGACTCCCGGGCCAACCGACTCCTCGGTTTGGCTCGTATCTCTTTTGGGCTTGCTCCATTTTCTTCTTGGGCTTCCCTTCTTTGTCTGGGCTTTATCTCTTTTCTTCTTGGGCCCCGAGCCCACGGGGTTCACACCCCATCATAAATCACGGTGACTCAATGGGTTAGTAGGCAGGGCCAAATGCCGGTGCGCACAAGGAATCTGCCCACTTTGAACATAATTCCCACACTGCCGCCGCCGAGGTTCGAACCTTGGTTTCTACAATATTCTAAAAATAGTACTCCGTATCATAGCTATTTATTAAGACGTGTAGTATTTCATTGTTGGTGCCTTGGTGAGAAATGATTTAATTGGTGATTTTAATTCATCGGTCTTGATTGATTTAGAGATTTTGAAATTTATTTTAGAATTGTAATCTTAATAATTGAATATTTTACTTCATAATTTCTTTTAAAAAAACTTAAATGTACTTTTTTTCTTTTTATACAAATAAAATTAATATATAAAAAATATATTATTACCCAACTCTAATTGAGATCTTTTAAATGACATTGATATTAATTTTTTTTTATATTTTTAAGTAACCTAAATTTACACTGACAGTGATTTAATATAATTATAGCTTAATTAAAAAAAACAAAAAAAAAACCAATATTTCTATTTTTTTAAATAAAAATATCATTTAAAATTTTTAATGATATATTTTTATACTATTAATTTTATTTTTTAAAAAAGTAATAAAAATGAATTTAGAGAGAAAATATTAATTTGTTAAAAATTCATAAGATGTTTTTATCTTAACTAGCACGAATACCAAAGTCCAAATTGAATACTATTTTACTTTTTTTAAATTTGTTTAGAAGTTTAAATCAAATAGTATTAGGACTTGTAAAAATTTGAATAGAATAATTCCAAAATTGTAAAGAAGTTTCTAAAAGTTTGGATCCCATACAA